GTTGGCAAGGTCCCCTAGTCAAATACTCTCTTCGGACATGGTCTCGAAGAGAAATATCAAATTTCTCAACTGATTTTCGTAATCCCGGATCACTAACAATATCATTTAAATTCAATTCCACACAAGATTGATTTTGAACTGGTTCACTAATATTAGGCTCATTTGAAGATTCACCACTACGGACTCGTTTAGGTTTAAAGAATCTCTCCATTTTCTGTCACAATTAAATAATTGTGGTTAAATTCAATAAAATTATGCAATTCAATAATCAATTAATTTAAAATTCATATAAATAATTCTTTAATTTAATAATAAATTCATATTACTTATATTTCTCAATTTATAAAATTCATTATATAAAATTATCAAAAAGTTAAAATAAGGTACAACTAAATACCCATATAATTTCTAATTCAATCTCATAAAATTTTGAATTTATATTTACATTCAAAATTTCTAATTCACATAATTAATTCTTAAAATTTCAAATATAAAACTAACAAAATTTTAAAAACTAAATACAACCTAAAATCTATACAATTTCTAAACTAATTTCTAATTTAAATTTAATATCATTAAATTTTTTAATGTAATCTTTCAAATTCTTAAATTACATTAACATAAACTAAATAAAAATTAATCTTAATCAAATTAATATCAAGATACTCAAAATTCAAAAATAATTTAAACATATAATTAACAAAAATATAAAGATGAATATTGTAATTTAAACCAAAAAACTAACCTAAAAGATTTATGTGAATGGAATGGTGGAGAGTTGGAGTCTTGGAGCCTTGAATTGAAGGCTTGAAGCAGGATGATAGAATCTCAACTGAAGCTTCTTGGAGTTCTTGGAGCCTGGCGTGAGTGGCGTATTCTTCTTGGAGTTGGAGACTTGGAGTCTTGTTTCAGTTGTTTGCCCTTTGGCCTTTGGCATTGGCGGCGTGTATTTTTTTTTTCCCTCATTATACAAAACGACGTCGTTCCACTAAAAGTGAAACGACGTCGTTTTGTATTTAGAGGGCAAAAAAAAAATTCAACATAAATTGGGTCATCTTCTTCCTCGGACCTCAGCAGTCAGCAGACTCAGCACGGCAGGCTGGCAGCGGCTTTCCAGGCCCAGCTCTTCTTCACTTCCTCTGCAGCATTCATGGAGGCATCAGGCATGGAGCCATGGAGGATGGTAGATCTGGATCACCGTGGGGGGACTGGGCTGGGCTGGGCTAGCCGCCGGAATCCCCTATATATAGGGGATTTTCCGGCGGCTTGGGGGGGGCTTAAGCCCCCACCAGCCCCCCCTTAAATCCGTGCCTGCATAGATGGGAGAGGAGTCAAGGTAGAAATTGCCAATGGACCATGCATGGAGGTCAGAAGTGCTAGCCATGTTATAACACATGGAATCAGCATTCATGATTGTGAAGCCCAGAGGCCGGGCTTGGGTGATGCCATAACCATAACTGGATCTTCTGATGTATGGATTGATCATTGCTTTTTCTCTAGCTGTGTAGATGGCCTCGTAGACATCATTCGTGGTTCAACTGCATGCGATCACCATCTCCAACAATTTCTTCACGAAACAAGATAAAGTAAGCATGTACAAAGCCATCAATAATCCAGTACTGGCTAAAAGTTACATGCATGTGTCTACATATATAATTTAGGAATTTATTTTAACTTAGTTCTATCATCCCTAGAAATTAATCATAAATTAAGCTCTTGCACCATCATTTTTATTTTTTGGATATTAATATGAGTAATAACTTTGTGCCCTCATGCACTAGGTCATGTTGCTTGGACACGATGATGATCATGACGAGGACAAGAGCATGAGGATTACTGTTGCATTCAATTACTTTGGCCCGGGTCTAGTCCAAAGGATGCCAAGGTGAGAGTTATTTTGTGGCATTGTATTGGTCAATCAGTACACTTGAAAGGTTTTTGAAACTTTACTGATACGAGCAAGAACTACAGAGTTAGGCACGGCTATGCCCATGTTGCAAACAACAGGTATGAAAGATGGACAATTTATGCCATTGGTGGGAGTGCGAACCCCACCATACTAAGTGAAGGCAACCAATACACTGCTTCAGACAATCCTCGAGCCAAGGAGGTATAATTTCTCATCAAAATTGTATTGAAATTGATCTAGACTGTAATTTTCATATAACCTACATGCAAGCGAGATAGACTTTCTATAGTGACAGAGGGAAAAGTGGCTGCGATTGTGGTCAGATATAACTGTTCCAAACGATTTATTGTCATGATTTAGCCAACAATACAATTTTTTTTTTTTTGAAAATGTACGACTTAAATCATCACACTTAACTTTGACATAACTGATATCTACGATCTCATATAAATATAGAAGGGATCATTTCAAATACCTCCCTCAAGGTTTCTAACAATTATACTTGAATAGCCTCTAAAATTAAAATTACACTTACCTCCCCTCTATGATGGATGTGACAACATGTCTGCACCAAAACCTCCTAATGACCAACTTGCCCTCAAAATGTTGTGCCTAATATTATTACAAAAATGTGAGAAAAAAATTGCCTACAACAATAATATTTTTTTATTTGCTCCTTGCCACGATCATCTACAAAAGAAAAATTGATTTTGTCATTTCTCAACTGTTATCTTCAAAATTGATTTTATTATTCCTCAAATGCCATAGAGAGGAAGAATGCTAAGAGTTGAAAATAGTATTCATCTCTTACATTTTATCCAACTTATATGCTGCCAAGATATAACTGTTAGATATAGCTGTTGCAACCTATCCAACTCTTCTTGCTTCTAATGATCAAAAGTGCAAAATTGTACATGTACTTTGTGTTGTACTGGGAGGATCTCTACTGCTTTCATATCTTTTTTCTCTTTTTAATTAATTTTTATAAACAAAGTGGCAAATGTTTCGTTCAGAATATAAAGAAGATAAAGTTGGCAAAAAATTGTGTGTAAGTACCTTTTCCCACTTTTTAACTTTCTTTTAGTGACAGCGGCTGCAATATTTATTAAATGTGTCCATCAAAGGGAGGTGAGTGTACTTTTTAATTTTAGAGGGTATTTAAGTGCAATTGTCAGAAACATCGTGGGAGGTATCTGAAATTATCCCAATATAGAATATAGAAGAAAATATAACATGACTGTTGAAAAAAATTTTATATGGTCTCGACAGTAAAAGGTATAGAATCCAAGTTTCACTTATACCTTTTAACAGGTTACAATGAGGATTCAAGATGAAGATTGGAAGACCTGGACGCGGAAATCTTCCCGGGATGTATTTAACAGTGGAGCTTTTTTCGTTCAGTCGGGATCAGGAAGCTATCTTCCTAATTACTCACTATCTCAATCCTTCACCGTCGCACATGGGGCTGCAGTTCTGACTTTAACCTCTGATGCTGGTCCTCTGGAATGTAACACAAACAAAACATGTTAGATTATGTCGTTCTACAAACAGTAATACGTTCAGGCACGGATTTAAGGGAGCTGGAAAATCCCCTATATATAGGGGATTCCGGCGGCCAGCCCAACCCAGCCCAGTCCCCCCACGGTGATCCAGATCTACCATCCTCCATGGCTCCATGCCTGATGCCTCCATGAATGCTGCAGAGGAAGTGAAGAAGAGCTGGGCCTGGAAAGCCGCTGCCAGCCTGCCGTGCTGAGTCTGCTGACTGCTGAGGTCCGAGGAAGAAGATGACCCAATTTATGTTGAATTTTTTTTTTGCCCTCTAAATACAAAACGACGTCGTTTCACTTTTAGTGGAACGACGTCGTTTTGTATAATGAGGGAAAAAAAAAATACATCAGATGAAGCCCTAAGGCTTCATCTGATGCAAAAGCACGCCGCCAATGCCAAAGGCCAAAGGGCAAACAACTGAAACAAGACTCCAAGTCTCCAACTCCAAGAAGAAGACGCCACTCACGCCAGGCTCCAAGAACTCCAAGAAGCTTCAGTTGAGATTCTATCATCCTGCTTCAAACCTTCAATTCAAGGCTCCAAGACTCCAACTCTCCACCATTCCATTCACATAAATCTTTTAGGTTAGTTTTTTGGTTTAAATTACAATATTCATCTTTATATTTTTGTTAATTATATGTTTAAATTATTTTTGAATTTTGAGTATCTTGATATTAATTTGATTAAGATTAATTTTATTTAGTTTATGTTAATGTAATTTAAGAATTTGAAAGATTACATTAAAAAATTTAATGATATTAAATTTAAATTAGAAATTAGTTTAGAAATTGTATAGATTTTAGGTTGTATTTAGTTTTTAAAATTTTGTTAGTTTTATATTTGAAATTTTAAGAATTAATTATGTGAATTAGAAATTTTGAATGTAAATATAAATTCAAAATTTTATGAGATTGAATTAGAGATTATATGGGTATTTAGTTGTACCTTATTTTAACTTTTTGATAATTTTATATAATGAATTTTATAAATTGAGAAATATAAGTAATATGAATTTATTATTAAATTAAAGAATTATTTATATGAATTTTAAATTAATTGATTATTGAATTGCATAATTTTATTGAATTTAACCACAATTATTTAATTGTGACAGAAAATGGAGAGATTCTTTAAACCTAAACGAGTCCGTAGTGGTGAATCTTCAAATGAGCCTAATATTAGTGAACCAGTTCAAAATCAATCTTGTGTGGAATTGAATTTAAATAATATTGTTAGTGATCCGGGATTACGAAAATCAGTTGAGAAATTTGATATTTCTCTTCGAGACCATGTCCGAAGAGAGTATTTGACTAGGGGACCTTACCAACCGATTGGCCATATGTATCCAAAAACATCATTTGGTAAACAACATAGAAGTTTCCAAGATAGTTGGTATCAAAAGTTTGTATGGTTAGAGTATAGCATATCGAAAGATGCGGCGTTTTGCTTTTGGTGCTTTCTTTTCAAAACACAAAATAAGGGAGGTCGATATGCAGAGGATGCCTTTACAAAAACAGGATTCAATAATTGGAAAAAGGCAATGGAAAGATTTAATGAACATATTGGAGCTGTGAATAGTTGCCATAATGATGCTAGAATACAGTTTGAAAGTTTTCAAGATCAAAGGCATAGTGTGTCAAATGTGCTACGATCTTGTGGGCGCAAAATAGATATTGCATATCGCACCCGTTTAACTGCTGCTCTGGATGTGACCCGCTTTCTTTTGAAGCAAGGATTGGCTTTTCGTGGAAATGATGAGTCAACTAGTTCTTCAAATAGAGGCAATTTTCTTGAATTGTTTGAGTGGTATAGCCAGCGAAATACTGAGATTTTTGAGGTTGTAAATCAAAATGCTCCTGCAAATAATCAACTAACTTCTCCAATGATTCAAAAAGATCTGGCACATGCTTGTGCCTCAGAGATCACAAGTGTTATAATCAATGATATTGGAGACAATTATTTTTCCCTAATAGTTGATGAGTCTCGAGACAGTTCAGTGAAAGAGCAAATGGGAGTTGTTTTGAGATATGTGAACAAATAAGGGCGTGTGATTGAACGTTTCCTTGCAATTGTACATGTGTCTGACACCACATCTCTTTGTTTGAAAGATGCAATTGATTCTTTATTCGCGCAACACGGATTATCATTATCCAAATTGAGAGGTCAAGGATATGATGGAGCTTCAAATATGCGAGGTGAGTTCAATGGTTTGAAGGCCCTTATATTACAAGAAAATCCCTATGCGATGTATATTCACTGTTTTGCTCACCAACTCCAGTTAGTTATTGTTGCTGTTGCTAAGGGAAATATCATTGTCAGTGAATTCTTTGTCTATGTCTCTATGATTGTCAATTTAACTGGAGTATCATGTAAAAGGAGAGATCAATTAAGACAAATAGAACATGATAAGATTGTTACACTTTTAGACAGTGGAGATATTATTAGTGGAAAAGGCAAAAATCAAGAAACTAGTTTAGCAAGACCAGGGGATACTCGTTGGGGATCACACTATCTAACATTACTTCGTCTATCCTCTATGTGGGCTTCGGTGATTGGAATATTGGGAAATATACAAGATGATGCCTCCACTTCTGACAATAGAGGTATGGCCAGGGGTTTGATTGATAGAATGAATGATTATGAGTTTGTTTTTGCATTGCACCTGATGAAGTATTTATTGGGAATCACAAATGACTTGTCACTTGTTTTGCAACAAAGGGATCAAAATATTGTCCAAGCCATGAGTTTGATTGATACTATGAAATCTCAATTGCAAGACTTTAGGGAAGAGGGATGACAAATAATTTTAGATGAAGTCAACAATTTTTGTGAGTTGAATATGATTCCCGTGATTGATATGGAAGACAGTATAGCAATCCGTGGCAATGCCAGGCGCAGTCGCAGAGGTCAAACCATCACTAATTTTCATCATTATCGCGTGGAAATTTTTTGTGAGGTATTATTTTTGAAATTATTATTTCATTACATTTGTTACTTGTTAGCAGATTTTCTTAGTTATTAATTTTATTATTGTTGTGATGTCAGGTTGTTGATTTAATTATACAAGAGATGAATAATCGTTTCTCGGAAGTTAGCACGGAATTGCTTAGTTGCATAGCATGTCTTGATCCAAAAAGTTCTTTCTCTCAATTCAATGTGCAGAAACTATTCCGTCTTGCTGATTTATATCCTGAAGACTTCTCAAGTAACGATTATTTATATCTTGAGTCTCAACTTCGAAATTATATTTATAATGTGCAACGCGATCCTCAATTTTCAGAAGTTGGAGATTTGGGAAGTCTTGCTCAACAAATGGTTAAAACTGGTAAAAATACAGTTTTTCCATTTGTTTATCGTCTGATCCAGTTGGCATTAGTTCTACCAGTTGCGACTGCTTCTGTTGAAAGAGTATTTTCTGCAATGAATATTGTCAAGACTGATTTGCGCAACAAAATGGGAGACGAGTGGATGAATGTCTGTCTGGTTGTATACATCGAGAAGGATATTTTTGCAACAATTGAAAATGAGCAAATATTACAACGTTTTCAACGGATGAAGACTCGCAGAATGCAATTGCCTCCTCTTCGTTATTCGAGTGCAACAACTACCAATACTTCAAGTGTTAATCAATAACAAATTTTTGGGTATGTATAATTATATGTTTTTATTATTTTTATAATTATTGATTCTAAATTTTACTTATTAAATATATTTATTTCGTCACAAAAAAAAATTTTTAATACACTTCAGCCCCCCCAAAAATAAATTTCTGGCTCCGTCCCTGAATACGTTTGGACATGATTAAGAATTTTAGATTGATTAAATATGGGATTATGCATGTGATTAGTGCTGCAACCTAGCTGGTAACTAGCCAGCTAGCCCTTTAGAAACTACTAGATTTTACGGTTTCTTTTTTTTTTTTTTTTGGTTTTTTTTTGTTTGCTGGTTGGTTTGGAACCACCTCATTGTAAACCATATGTCTCTTGAGAAGTACTTTCAATGCTATATGGCCATTAGAGGTTTGATGTTTTGTTTCTTTCTTCCCTTTTCTTTTTTTTTTTTAAAAAGTTTTTTGGATACTTGTTCTGGTTTTAAAACTTCAAATTCCTAAGTTTTGTGCACGCACCATTGTTTGCTAGAAAGACGACCAACAAAGAGAGTTTAAGGCAAAATGCCGGTTTTCATCCCCAAACTTTGGGGTAAAGACACATTTCATCCCTCAACTTTTGGGCACGACACATTTGATGTCTGAATTAATAATTTTTTACCAATGTCATCCTCAAACGGCAACTTAGTCAATTTTTAATGGAACTGGTCACGTGAAAATCACATGACCGTTAAGTGAACTTAAATTACATTTTTAACAAAACCTGTCAGTTTCCTGCATGCAATCAATCAACTTTTGACAATTTTGACTAAGCATCCATCAATAAACACTTGCATCCCGTACATAAGGGGGGAAAAAAACTAAAAATAAGGATAAAATGAAAAATAGGCAAGAAAAGAAATAATCAGCATGAAAAATGAAAAGGGATAATTTCACAAACATCCCTTGAGATTTTTAATAGTTACAAAAAGCTCCCCTCAAAATTTAAAAATTACATATACTTTGCATACTTTTACTATTTATATAAGAGCAAATTATTTGAGCAGCCATTGAACTATTTGAATAGTAAAAATTTGGCCCTTCAATTATTCATAACATATTTTTACCCATTGAACTATTAAAAGTATAAACTTTGAGTTATTCATAACACCCATTGAACTAGTATGTTTTGTATTTAACATAAATTAAATATGTGGAAGTTAAAAAAATAATAAATTGCCCATAACATACCAGTTATTTATGGGAAACTGGCAGGTTTTGTAGTATATTTTGTACCAACTCTTTATGGGAAACATACCAGCTCTTCATAGGAAAAATTGGTTAAATAGCGCCCAAAGGAAAACTAGTATGTTTTGTATTTAACATAAATTAAATATGTGAAAGTTAAAAAATAATAATAAATTGCGCATAACATACCAGCTCTTTATGAAAAATTGGCAGGTTTTGTAGTATGTTTTGTACCAACTCTTTATGGGAAACATACCAACTCTTTATTGGAAAAATTGGTTAAATAGCGCTCAAAGGAAAACTAGTATGTTTTGTATTTAACATAAATTAAATATATGAAAGTTAAAAAAATAATAAATTGCCCATAACATACCAGTTCTTTATGGGAAACTGGCAGACTTTGTTAAAAATATGATTTAAGTAACGGTCATGTGATTTTCACGTGATCAGTTCCGTTAAAAATTGAGGATGACATTGGTAAAAAATTATTAATTCAGACATCAAATGTGTTGTGCCCAAAAGTTGAGGGATGAAATGTGTCCTTACCCCAAAGTTTGGGGATGAAAACCGGCATTTTCCTAGAGTTTAATCATAACCAAATTTAATTCATTTTCAATGTGATAGGCCAAAAGCAAAATCCTCAAAATTGTGAGGGTTTGTCTATAAATTTTGTCTTTTGAAATTGCTTCTCTTTGTATAAACATAATAGAGTTTCAAGTCAATCCAGTTAACATTCATGACTTCAACTGACTCACCCAAAAAAAAAAAATGAATAAATTAGTTAAAAAGGTAGAGAATTAAGCTATAGAAAATACCATGCCCACGTAATATGTACGAGAGTAAGAAGAAGCAAAGTTAAAGGGAATTAAAACAGGGAAAGATAATAAAAACTAAAGATGTTTTCCAAAAAACGAAGAAAGAGACATGATTCAATCTAATGGGGATTCAAAATATAAAATAGATTATGGGATAAAATAAAACTAAACCACCAATACAAGGAGCTAGACGTAATTTAGCCAACATTTATAAGTGGGCTTGTTAGGGATTTAAATCAGCTTCGAGTACATAGTCAATTGGTGAAAGTACAAAAAGGTGGCTAATTACTCAGATTATGGTCGAGAAAAAAAAAATTCGGACATGTACCGCTCTGACAAGCTTGTGGTACAAATCTATGGGTACCGGGCCATGTCAGCCCGGCACCCAAAGTCAGTCAAATTTTTTTATTTTAGGTGTGACACCGCTAACGGGCTGACACAGCCCGGTAGCGGGAAATTTTTTTTTTTGTTAAAAAGCTGTCGGCTACCGGGACAATGTCTGAAAAATTTGAGAGAGCCATTTGAATATGGCCAAATATTCCTTCCAGCACAAGATTCTCCACGGCTTGACAGCGCTGCTGCCTTCTCATATTATAGCTTGTGGTCTGTTTGTGCCAAAATGATTGTCGAATTATCTCTCAATTAATTTAATTTGTTGATTCTTTTTGGTTGTTTTGTTTCTAGTTTTTTTTTACCGCGTAAATTCTTCGAACTTTATGGGTACGTTTGTATTCCTTGTTTTTTTCTTCTGTTTTTGAAAAACTGTTTTTCACATTCCAAATGTTACAGTAAATATATATTTCAAAAACAATTCCAAAAACACCATATCCAAACATTATACCAAAAACAACTCCAAATATGCATATTTAATATGTATATTATATATATTATATTAATATAAATTGAAATATACAAACTGAAAATTATATATTTATACATTATATTATATAAATATTTATATACATTAATATTATACATAATATTGTATATTATACATAATATAATATAATATACATGATATAATATACATAATATGTAATATTGTATACATAAATGTATAAATATTTATACATACTATATTATGTACATTATATTATAATATATACATTGTTAATTTACTTTCACTATTATGTACATTATTGTGTATAATAATGTATAATAATGTTATGTATAATATATAATATACATAATATGTAATAATGTATAAATGTATATTATATTATATATATACAATATTATGTATATTATACAAATTGTAAATTTTATGTTATATATTTACATATTATATATTATATAAATATTTATATAATGATATATACAATAAATATTACAAATTAAAATATTATATAAACACCATATTTATAATATTAATAATTAACATTAATATATTATATATTTATTAAATATTTATATATTAAATATTTAGCTATTTATTTATTCATATTATAAATATTTTATTTTATTTAAAATATATTTTTATATATTTATATAAATATTATATATTATATAAATTATATATATTATAATATATATTATATATTATATATATTATACATTTATATAAATGTACATTTATACATAATATATATATTTATGTATATTTATAATATACATTTATATTATGTATTATATATAATATAATACATTTATACATTTATATTAATATACATAATATTAATTTTACATTTATACATAATATTAATACATTTATACATTTATATTAATTATATTAATACATTTATACATAACATTAATATATATTTATAATATATTAATTTATACATTTATATAATATTCATTTATAATTTATACATTTATAATTATATACACTTATACATTTATAAATATATTTATATTATCTATTATATATAATATAATACATTTATAATACATTTATATATTTTTATATAAATATATAAATATATGTATTTATAAATATTTATAAATGTATTATAAATGCATAAATGTATATTTATATAAAAATATATAATTTATAATTTATACATTTATATAATATTCATTTATAATTTATACATTTATAATAATATACATTTGTACATTTATAAATATATTTATATTATGTATTATAAAAATTTTTTCCCTCCTTGTTTTTCACCTTTTAAACGGAGCTGGACTTTATGGACCCCA